TGAGTTCGGCGGCCTGGGCACGGGCCGGCAGACGGGGCTTATACTCCCACTCGTGGAAGTGCTGGGCGGCACAGATAGGGGATAACCCCAGGCGGGCTAGGATTTCCTTCTTGACCTCCTTATATTGATCGGCGGAGGCGGCGGGAAGAGTGAAGTATGCACGCTGCGCTTCGCCCATCAGCAGGGGAGCCAGCACCCGTGCCCAGTCATCCTGATGCCACCCTTCCAAGGTGGCCGTCGCTTCGAACATTTGTAAGAAGGCTTCTATGTCATCATGAGGGGTCAGCTTGGCTAGCAGCTTCGCGGCTTGCACTTGGGGGTCCGGCAGCGGAATGCGTTGAGCGGCGGCGGCACTCAGGGCCGCGAGTTCCTGCTCCGTCTCTCCTTGACGGGTGGCGAGGTGCTCAACGATTTGTTGCTGGCGGATGCTAACCTCGGTGAGCCGCTGGAGGATTTCGTCCATGCTTTCTGTGGGAAAAATGAGAGGGCGAGTTAGTGCTCAGTCTCATGGAGGAATCTCTTAGATGGCAGGGCTTGCGTGGTTTATGTAGCCGCCGCCTGATCTTCATTTATTGAGAACTACTCGGACATTGCACGCCCTCTCACTGCCCTTCTGAAAAAGGACCGTCCATACCAACGGCATGACCAGGACAAAAGGGTGGTTGTGTATGCCAGCAAGACACTTCTTCCACCAGAGTGCAAATAATCAGACTGTGAGAAAGCCCTGATCTGTACTGTATGAGCTATCCAGAGATTCTCTAACTACATCGTAGCACAAAAAGTGATCACAGAGACCTGCCAGCAGCCTGTCACATTTCTCAACAGCCAAAGCATCCACGACGGCATGGTCACAAACACCTGCATAGCTACATGGCTAATGGCCCTCCAGGGGCGCAATGTGGAAGCATGACATGTCCAAAACCACAAGTCGGCACTGGGTAACGGCCTGGCAGCCAGCCTAAGCTGCTCCGATGGCACGCTGACTGTGATCATCAAAACAGAAAGGCCCCAACTACAGCCACCTACCTGCCACAGGTACTTTGAAGAGAATATGTGCCAAGGCATGCCCACAGCCTACATCGATGGATGTTCTTACAACCACGAGGGCATCCTAAAGGCAGGTGCAGATGCTCTCTGGCTAAATAACCAACCTTGCCCACCACAACACTTCAAGTTGGGTCCCCAGTCATCACAATATGCTGAGATAGCAGCTATTCTCATAACCCTGCAAATAGCATCGGCCCATAACATCAGAGACCTGTTTATTTGCACAAACTTCAACTATGCCAAACTTAGCTTCACATGCAACCTTCCAGGCTGGAAACTAAATGGCTTCAAGACCGCAAACAACAAACCAGTTAAACACCAACACCTGTTCCAGGCATGCGATGACATCAGAAGTAAACATGATATAATTGTCTACTGGAAGAAGTTGAAAGGACACTCAAAGCAACCGGGTCCGGACAAGGACCTCAATGACCAAATGGATGCCCTTGCCAAAGCAGGCAAAGCAGAGCTATGGTCTCCACCAACCCACCCAACCACTCTTAAGGCCTCGATATACTTCAAGCGAAATCGAAGAACGAACTGATGTGATGTCATTTTGAACAAAATCCGGCCAAAACAAAGTTTGTTTTGTGTTCATTTTGGGAGTTTGAAATGGCTTGTCAAAGCGAACTTTCCGGAAAAGTTCGTTCCAGCTGCAAAACACCTTCGTACTACCATTGGTCCGTGACGATTACGTCATAGGAGGTGAGCGCTGAGGCTCTGCCTTCTTTCACGCCGAACTCTTCTCTGGGTTCATTTCTTCTGTCGAGTCCTTGGAGGTGAGATGTCTGTGGGTAAAACATGAACGCAGTGGAGAGCCGCTTTATAGTAGCAAACTATGTTGTGCTTCTGATGAAATGAGACACTGACACTGTTTTTCATGTTTAATACTGCTGATTGCTTTTAAGCAATATATTGAATGAAGTGCCATGTAAATACACATGACAAGATTTCACCGGAATGCTAATTTGCAAAGCTTGTGCAAACATACCCATGTTGCTATGATCAGATTTTTATTTAAATAATTCTTGCTGTTTTCTCCATTTTTGTTGTTTATTTTGTTACTGAGAGCAAAGCACGCAGCACATATTTACATATTCATGTAAACGTTGCTTTCATCAGAGTGGGCGGTGTCGGGATGTTCGCTAACAGTTTTACCCCTAAACAAAGAACGAAAAGGAACTTTGTTTTGAGTATATCAGGGTCTTAAAGGTGACAGCCACAACCCGCAGCAAACAAACTCGACCCACCACAGTACCTACCTCACAGCCACTTATGGTGGCTCCACAAACCTCCACGAATGACGTTGCTGACATGCAAGCCTCTGACTCCTCAATAAAGACAATTCTTCACCACCTCTCTGACCCCTCCAACCACCATATCACAGCTGCTCAACTTGCTACTGCTCGTTACAAAACGTGAAACCCATGCTGCGTGTGATGGACAACATTCTATGGTATGTCCCTGATTACCTTACTGCACCAAGGCTTGTGGTGCCACAGTGCCAAAAGTGGGTCATGTTAATGTATGCCCACAATGCACCATGTGCTGGACACCACGGCGCAAGAGCCACTTATGAGACACTAAAACAAGTGGTTTAACCCTTTTTTGAAAGGTGGTTTCGGTTCTTTGTTGGCTCTTAGGGTTGTGTAAAGGAATGAATGAATGAATTGAATGAATGAATGAATGAAGCATATATATATAGCGCTTGTAACTAACAAAAGTTTGCCATTCTGTCTCTCTCTCTCTCTCTCTCTCTTTCTCTCTAACTCACTTTTACCTTTTTTTAATCCTACATACAGTATATGTTTAGTTTAGCTGTGTTATACCATTTATTAAACGTTTTCATATACACTCTTGATTGTCTCTGTGTTCGCTGCTCACAAATTAAGGTCACTTAAATGTTTGATTTCGTTACAGGCTCTTGTGCTGTTTAGTACAGTGGCCGAGAGACCTCAACACTTAAGAAAACACATGCAAATAGAAAAAGCACCAGCAAATTAAGAAAACATCTTCATGAGTTTGACAACACACACGCTGCAAATACAACACAACCAAATACAGAAATGCGCTGCAAAGACTCACAACATGACCAAATACAGAAAAGCGTTGCATGTAGCACAGACCACAATGGAAATGTTTCAAGGGGACCCCAACAACCCTTACGAAAATTAACCATGGTTTTATTATAGTAAAAGTGTAGTAATGATGTTTTTGGTGTTTCCCATTTTACCATTACCATTTTTTTGTAACTACACAAATACCATAATTAAACTATGCTTAGTGTAATTTGTGATTACCATGATTTAACTATAGTAACCATGTTTTTTTGAGTTTTTAATAGTAAAACCATTAATTTTCATAAGGGAAGTTGTAAAAGTAAGTTAGCCAGCTTACATAATGTTTCACAGTTACAGTAATTGTGTATTTCGTCAGCTTATTTAGGTTAATAATATCGAAAAAAGCGAAGGAATCATATGATCAGGATGTTAAAACAAATAAAAATCGCACCTTTCAGAGTAGACACTGATAAGCATGTCCCAGCCAGGTTTGTCACTTGTTGCGGTTCCCTTATACATTTCCAATGTTTTCTGTGCATATTTAATTGTGTTGTGGGTCTTTGCAGAGCGTTTCTGTATTTGCAGCGCGTTTCTGTATTTGGTTGTGTTGTGAGTATTTGCAGCATATTTCTGCATTTGCAGCATGTTTCAGTATTTGGTTGTGTTGTGTGAATTTGCAGCACGTTTCTGTATTTGCAGCGCGTTTTTGTATTTGGTTGTGTTGTGCGTATTTGCAACGCGTTTCTGTATTTGTTTGTGTTGTGAGTCTTCGCAGTGTGTTTCTGTATTTGCAGCGCATTTCTATATTTGGTTGTGTTGTGTCTTAATTTGCTGGTGTTTTTTCTATTTGCATGTGTTTTTTTCATTTGCAGCTCATTGAGCTCTCTCGGCCACCATAGTTTAGTATTAACAGTGAGAAAGCTATCCTTCTTGGCCAGGAGAATAATCTTTCTTTGAATTGATAAAAGATAAGTCGAACCGACTGTCAACTGTAAAATTAATTCTGCTACAGTTAATCCTAATGCTGATATAAATATTAATAATTAATTATTACACGTTATGAGTAATTATTAATATTTCCCCCTTTGAGCTAATTTGCTACACATGTTAGGTGCTACGAGTGCTGCATAATTTGAATTCCACTATGAAAGTCTTCACATCTTTTACAGATATTCAGTGTCAAGATGCTACTTGATAAACTTGTCTGGGATGGGTTTTATGCACTTTCTTTGTCTTGGAAATGTTTATTAGTTTTAAAATACACAATTTTGCACTGTTATCTTGAGTTATGAGATGGGCAAAAGAACCCTTATATTGTTATTGCACTCAAATGCATCAGCAGATTTTGCTGAAAGCTCATATATGCATATCCTCATCACTTTCTGTCGCCTTAAAAATCCTGAGATTAAATCAACTGAGTGACAACGTGGGCGAAAACAGCTTGTGGGCAACACTCCATTTTAGCGAGTGCTGGGTTGGTATGTGTGTATGTGTGTGTATATGTGTCCTGTTTGCCACGCACTGCCTCTGCAATCAGTATGCAGGTGGCACAGTGGGAACAAAGACATAGAGGAGTGTGGCCACCCGCCCACTCCAATCTGAAAGACAGAGATAAGGAGGAAGAGGCACCCCACATATTCACAGGTCGATCCATCTCATCATTAACCCATGCTGCTCTTTATTTAGATCAGACCATATGGGGGAAAACTGGGGAAATACTAGTTTTGTTTTCAATCGTCTGTTGACATTCCTGTGCCTTAATGCATCTCACTAAGATTGCATTTGTTTCCAATTACGCCCTTCCTATATGCTGTATCTTACACAAGAAAAGCAGAGTTATTATGGATGGAAATGGTTCTTCAACCCTCTTTGTTTGAATGTGCATGTATTCACATACGTGTTCCCTTTGCAAAAACCAAAGGCTCTAGATACTTAAAAAGCAATTACTAAGAAATGGGCACACAAGGAACAGCTCTCCATTATCATACTTCCTGCCTCTCATTGTCTCTTTCTGTCATTTTCAGGTCGCCTTCACTGTGCTGTTTGATTTGGAAGCTCTGCTGAAAATCTGGTGTTTGGGCTTCACTGGCTACATCAGTTCCTCTCTACACAAGTTTGAGTCTTTGCTTGTAGTGGGCACCACCCTGCACATCTACCCTGATCTCTACCACTCGCAGTTCACCTACTTCCAGGTTAGAGACAGTTACTGATCCAAAGATAATCTAGAACATAGTCATTACTGAAGTTTATTGTACTACTACCTTTAAACATGTTCCTGAATAATGCCTAAATCAACCTACAGTGTAGTGTTGGAAGCTTGTGATGTGAGACCAATAAAACCTCTAAGTAGAAACTTAGTTTGAGGTTATTTGATTTTATTTCTCATCCACACTGCCAACACGTTACCATGCTGAATTTAAACAAAAAGCAAAATACCGCCTGCCATCATTCAATACTTCTCAGATTATTTTTCAGACATTATTGACTCTGATAGTAGCGTTTTGGCAAATCATGCACAGAAAAGTTTATTTATTTATTTTTACTGAGGCCATGACACGTGCAGGCACAGCATTTGTAAAAGGGTCTGTGCATGAGTGCAGCACCTGCTAGATTCTGAGATGCTAATCATGCACTAATGCAGGGTTATAACGCATACTGGTGGCCATGGCGGAGCTGTTTTTTTTATACATCTCCAGGCAGCTGCAGGGAATGGCAATGGATGAAGCCCGCTCACGTTGACAAGCCTCATTAAGGACACAACCTGCGCTCTCCCTCCAGTTTTCTCTCGGCAGGAGGGGCGGAGCTCCATTCGTGAATATTCATATCCTCCCCTCATGTCTGGGCTCATTACTGCCATGAAAATGACACATGATTCACCATGAGCAGTCACCATATTAAATTTGATTTGTAAATAGCATTCTATATTTTTCCATCATTTGTGAAATTAGTCATTGTCGCAAATAGCAATGTCTGGCTTCAAACTCATATTCTAAAACCTTTTGAACATAATCACTTCTTTGCATTGTTGAATATTCTGTAATAATTTTTTGTTTGACTGTAAAGGTCAAACTAAGCCTTTGCTTTCCAGTTTGCCATATTCAATAGTTCTTACATTTATGTTTCTGGAGAGACTAATTAGTACTCTATTTCCATTGGTTCTCAAACTACGCAGTAAGAATTCTCTTGTACATTACACAAAGTGTCCCCAAGTAAAGTTCATCGTCTTCCTAGGGAGAATTTTCATTTATATAGATGTATTTGCCATATGCTTTCAACTAAAATAACTTTTAGTGTATTTAAGGTATACATCATATTTACACATATTTATCAGCATGTGTGTTCCCTGTGAATCAAACCCATAACGGTGGTCTTACTAGTACCATGCTTTTTCAGCTGAGCTAAGTAAACTCTGTGATTAGAATTTAATTGAAATAGAGTTGAAAAAAATCTATCAATATTATAACTAATGGTCAGCACCATTAGATGAGCACTGTAGTTTTAGATCTCTGAAGCAACAAAACCCAAAAGAAGCACATTTGTTTATGTGTTTGTTGTGCAGAAAGACCTTCTCCTGAGGATTGCTGGATGATTATTCTAGGTTTAAAAGTAACGACAGCAGGAGGATTCTCAGGTCACATTCGGCTAGAAGCAAATGGATCAATATCTATTCTCTGCTCTTGATCAAAACTCAACCTAGATGCATCATTGCTCAAATTTGTTGTCACCTAGAGTAATTTAGTAACTGCTTGAGCAACAATGCAATTTGTAGCCAAGTTATTCCGGTGAAGAACCTGATATCAGTGTTTGCTCATTAAAAATCAATAAAACAAACACCAATATGCTCCATAGGCCTTCTTCTTGTAATAGTTTTCATATTAATATTTATGCCAAACCCGTGTAATGAGATGCTTCTGTGTATTTATTGATTTGTTGATGCTTTGATAAGTTGATTTATAATTCCAAGATGTGGCTTAAGCAAATATTAAGTTTGTTTTTAATTAAGAAAATATAAATGTTCTTCCTTGTTACCTGCAGGTTTTGCGAGTGGTCCGTCTAATAAAGATCTCTCCGGCACTGGAAGACTTTGTGTATAAGATTTTCGGTCCAGGGAAGAAACTCGGCAGTCTAGTGGTGTTCACTGCCAGTCTGCTCATAGTGATGTCTGCCATCAGTCTGCAGATGTTCTGCTTTGTGGAGGACTTGGATCGTTTCACCACATTTCCACGGGTAAATCTCCCTCTTTCTGGAGACACAGAAAGTAGTTGTAGATCAAAAGATGAAAAGTTAAAATAATTCGTTCTTGGAGGAGCAAATAAAGTTCTTGAGTCTTATGATTGCAGATTTTGGTATCTTGATCGTTTTTATTTGAATAGCTGAAATACTAATATACTAACAATTATCACGTCAGAAAAACACTGCTTAAATCTAGAGAAGAATTCAGAAACCAGTGTGGACCAAAATATCTCTAAATCTGTTATAATACTTAATTTGTCAGTAGATGTAAGTTCCAAGTTTTTTTGATACTATGTGCTCATGAGAGGAGTTCTCATTAGTGGTGTCTTTTTATCCTCCGTTATTAGTGGGACTCCACTGATCCCAATGCGTGCTGGGATTTGGAGGGGCTCACATAAACAGATGCCGCTCATTTCCAAGGCGGGTGGCATGATAACTATTGAAGATAATGATGTTTACCCAGCTCCCTTGTCAATAGACCTGTTGCAAAATATCAAATTATCTTCATCTGCAGTCACTCAGAGACAGTGCGACTGTGACCAGGCTTGGGACCAGCTGGCTTTAGACCTCCATTTGACTTCCATGGAAAAAAGGCCATGAAAATGTGGTCTCATATCTCCGTATGATGCTGAGACCTGGGGCACACTGTTTTTTCTTTTTCCTTTTTTTATTTGCATTCATTTCAGCGAATGTTGTGCTCTGCCTTGTCTTATTTTTATCGCAGCAATGTCAGTCAAAAATCCTTGTGTATACATGAGAATATATTTAGGAAAAAAGATAAACATAAAATTGTTACTCTGCTTTGTTAGTTTTCAAATTTCCATTTTGTTTTGATGACTGGAAAGGTCAAATCAGGAGTCAGGACAATTAAATCATGACTCTTGGAAGTCATCTATCAAATTCATGAAAGCGTACATATATTATGCCTATTAACTATTAAAGTTTTAGCTCAATCAGAAATTGTTTTTTCACCCTCATGTTATTCAAATTGCATAAGCCTTTCAAAATATCCAGATGAGGCACTAGATCTGACAAGGTTATTAAGGACTGATAAAAAATACAGACTGATCATTTCTCTTTTTCTTTCCTGCAGGCATTTATGTCCATGTTCCAGATTCTTACGCAGGAGGGATGGGTGGATGTCATGGACCAAACTCTGGTGGCAGTGGGACAGATGTGGGCTCCAGTGGTGGCCATATACTTCATTCTCTACCACCTGTTTGCCACACTGGTAAATATAATTTATTTGTGCTTTTTCTGTAAGATCAAACAAAAGGGCTTCTATAAAGTGCTGCAATGATGACATATTTTTGTAGGCAACTCGGAAGTTAGCATCACTCTGGCTCCTTTGACGAAAACCCAATCCGACTTTTGCAGTACTGCAAAAAATAAGCTCCGTGACAAACAAAAGTTTATAATTGTTACACATTTTGTTCATCATCATAGTCTTCACAATTTAACACAACACAACTTTAACACATATTTTAAAACCTAAATGCAATCACGAGAAGTAAAAATCTAAACATAGGCTTATAAACAAACTTCACCACAGTCGCATGACTTCAATGTCACCACCATTAGGCTTCAGACAAAATTATAATAGTTTTCAAGGGTGTGATTATAAACACAATGAGGCTGTGAAAGTGGACTAGTGATTAGACTCATTTTCCTGTTCAGCGTGATGATGTTTAAGGTCCTTGACAACCTCTGTAGTCCCTTTTAACCACTTGTTAGCAAACGCCTTTTTCAAAACAAGTAAAGCTTTAAAAAAAATCACAAGGGGTTATTACTGATGTATTTTATGTTATAGAATAAAACATGAAAATAATTTGAGCTTGTGTTAACCACAAACCTTATTTCAGGTTTTAAACCAAAAACCCATTCAAAAAACCCATTGACTTCAGGACAATGGAACCGGAAGTTATAAAGTGCCAAATGCTAACTTGTTTCTGGTATTTAACCTACAAAAATACATCATACAGTATTTTGGTGATGCTATCCAATCATATAAATTAGTGGTTAACCAGTGGGTTTTCAGTGTACTGAAAATCTGGGTTTCAAAATGTAGTTCTGGATACTGAACTTCAAAAAAAAAATTACACATGACATATCAACTCACAGTTGTTGCTCTGGCTCCTTTGGTGCAGGTTAAAACTATGGGAGCATGTGGTCATAGGATTTACGTAGGATTTACACTTACAACAGAGCTGGCAGTGTGTGGTGTGACTTGTCTGAAGCCTGATCCACCTCATCACTTTTCACATTAATTTTCATTATGGTATCCCATAAAGGACCCCAGTTCAATGTGTTGCACATGCTCTATGTGTTCCCAATTTTAGGGACAGAGCAGCAAAGCAAATACATCTAAAATGAAGACAGCTTGCGTTTGTGCCACTGAGAGCTAACCAAACTGTTAGAAAATGAATCATCCTTCATCCTCCCTTGCTTTTCTTGATCTTCTGGCTTACCTAGCCATCAAGAGAACATATTCAGAGATTCTGTAGCAGGTTGAATGTTAGTGAGAGCAGTATTCCAACCTCTAATGGGCAGTTTTGTGTGGTTTGAAGAGATGCAGCACTCTAGCTGATGTCTAAGGAAACAACACTTGCTTAGGAAATATAGCAGTAAATTGCCGCTGGAAACATTCTATTGCACATGTATTTTCCAGTTGTCACACCTGACATCAAACACTCCCTTCACCCATATTTTTATCCTTAAAAAACATGTCTTTGGGGCATTTCACAGCCACATCATGGCCCCTGTCACTCCCCATTACAGTTATTACAAGCAAAGATTTAGCCATTGGTGTCTTGTTGTTGATTTACCAATGCTCTACAGTGCAATGCGCTTAAGCATAGTGCAAAGATAATGAAATAAATCTATAGTCGTTAGCTATAGATTTATGTTACCTATTTCATGGAAATATCCTCTGTTGAGAACAAAATGTACTCTGGATGTAATTGCACTATGGTCGTAATGATTTTTTTCCCCTTTTGTTTGACTTTTGACAAGTTTGAGTGAGTGAGGACCAGCCATTTAAATTTGACATTTGAATGAGAGCGCACACTAATGACAGAACAGACCGAGCATGTAATCAAGACACGGCTGAATCATTTATTCATTTCCTGTCACCAAAAAAAGAAAAAGAAAATATGATGAAGAGAAAAGACGCAATTCCTAATGCATTTGAGGACAGCTTTAGACACCTCATATATAAGGACTAGTATGTCATTAAATATCAAAGCACTGATGACATCTAAGACACAGTCAGCTGTGATTGATTTACTACATTTTTGTTGTTGTCCTGAGCATGAATCTACCTCTTGTACTGTTTGCTGTGTTTATTGTGAAACATGTTTGTTTTCCTTTGGCTCTGACATGGCCACCACAGCATATTCTTTCATCAAACATTATTTTTATTGTTGGATCATAGCTACATCTTGGACAGAACTCATGTTTGCATAACAGATTATCTGTCAACATCACCCCATGAGCACAGTACACCTACTAACAATGTATGACAGAGAATATAGAGGCCACATCACAGTGTTTAAACTGCTGGGACCTTCAGATATTCAGTGAAGATGTGTGACTAATAAATGAATTGTCTTAAATATCTTCAAATGTCTTATTTGTTTTGTCCAAACAGTACTCTAATGCATATAAGGGTGTATTGGCAAATTGTAATGAAAGCTAAATTCAGTATGTTCTTGTCTTTTAGATCCTTCTGAGTCTTTTTGTGGCTGTTATTTTGGACAATCTTGAGTTGGATGAAGACTTGAAAAAGTTAAAACAGGTAAGACATTGTTCTATTAATTTTGCTTATATTATACACTACCATTTGAAAGCCAAACAAATAAAACTATTATTACAGTTATACAAAATAATTGTTTTCTGTTTTAATGTATTCAAAATGCATTTTATTATTTTAATGTCCAAGCTGAAGTTTCAGCAGCCATTACTCCAGCCTTCATTGTCACATGATTCTTCAGAAATCATTTTAAAATGCTGATTTGGTGCTCAAGTAATTTCTTATTATTATCAATGTTGAAAACAGCATTTATTTGAAATAGAAATGTTTTTGTAACAATCCAAACTCTTGCACTGAACACTTTTGTACTGAAGCACTGTCACTTTTGGTCAATTTAATGCATCTATGTTGAATAAAAATATGAATTTATATAAAAAAAAAATACCACTGACCCTTTTTGAATGGTAGTGTATTATTTGTATTATATTTTGTAGTGGTTCTTGGTTGGTAACATTTTGAATATTTAAACCTATCCTCCTAGTTTCCTGGGGGAAGGACTCTGGAACAGGACAATTTGTTAAATCCCTCTATTCACTGTCAGACTTACCCTAACTAATAAGATCTATTTTAAAAGTAAATTAGGTTATAATACTTTGACAATGTGCTCTCTGAACCATGGAATCACAATACATCCAAAAACATTCCTCAACAAGCACGATTATAGCCTTAAAAAATGTTTAATGTGTCTTCCCTACATTTGAGGAAAATCAGCAAACAGGGTGAGCTGTGTTAATTAGTACAGTTCTCCATCTTGTTCTCTGTCTATTTTTACCTTTTTATGGGGCTGTGATGCACAGGTACCGATGACTCATAGGATAATTAGCGTGAGAAAGCGTGACCCGTTTGGCAAGTGCACTTAGAAAAAACAAGGCACCTTCTTCATAGGATGCAAATGAACTTCTGCTGTGGCCAAATATCATAGGAAATGGCTTTTGAAAGCAATTAGAGGTCGGATGTCTCTGTGGATAACAGCATGTCACCTCTCTCCTCGAGCACATCAGCAACATATTTCAGCAATTGTTGAAAATGTTTTGAGAGAGAGAGAGAGAGAGAAGCCAAAAGAAACCAGCAGCTCATCACAATTTGCATGATTACTTTTGCAATTTGTCATAAAAATCTTCAGTGTTACGAGATATGCTAGGACAAATTGTAAAAGTAATAGTGTAAATTGAAAGGGAAGGCCACTGCTTTCCTGTGATTTCTCTTTTTCTCTTTGCTTTTCTCACTCTTGAGCAAATGACATGAGCTGTGTTGTCCTTCAGTCCACCAGGCTGTCAAGCTCCAGGCATCTTCACATGCCCAGATTGGTTATCCCTCAGACACAGCTGACTGATCCACAATTCCACCTGTAAAATTGCCTATTTTATAGGTGCTTCAAGCACAGATGGGGGCAATCCAAAAATAGAGTGCTAGATTGTGATTGCTCTCCAAGAATACAGGTGGCTTTTATGAAGCACAATTCAATGGTTGACCTTAATTGAAGCAAAGCCAGTTCTAGCTGATGTGGAACAAATAACAACCGGACGTGTTTTTGTCCTTTCCCTCACAGTGGCTTTATGACAGCGTGTTTTTTTCTTTCCAAAGGCTTTTCCGTTGCTGCCTCACAACCTCTGTCACCTTGTAATAAAGTCATCAGCAACTGTCTCCTAAAATGTTTGGCCACCTGCTAGATTGAAGGATTTCTGAAAATGCAACATTAATCAGGACACTATATTTAACCGTCAGACTCTTACAGCCTCAGAATTGACAGACATTTTTTTGTTAGGCAGGAAATTGTTTGTCTGTTTGATTAGGCTTAGCTTTGTGTCATTTTTAGCACGCCCTTTGCATACTGAAAATACACACATTCATTCACCACTCATTTTCATTATACCACAACCAATAAACAATTAATTCAAACAATTAACCTAGGGTTATGATGTGTTATCATGAGTTATAATCAGGGATGCACATACGTCTTTTGGTCTGGTTCTCATGAGAGCACCTGGAGATTTGGTTTGGTACTCACACTGCAAATAGTGTGACTCTTTAAATATATCTATAAAAAAATAATGATAGTAGTATTACTGAAATTATTTATTTTGTATTTTAATAAAACAAATAAAATGATAAACAATATAATCAGTGTGATAATACTATTATATTTAAAAATAAATTGAGTATAAAAGTAAAATAGAAATTTGGTGTAAGAAATTTGATGTACAACCTAACACAATCACAGCCAATCAAACCATATTTGATGTTTAATATATATGTATTGTTTTGGGGAGATTTCACAGTTGAATTTAAATAGAGAATCATTATTGTGCACTTTCCCAGTTTCCATACAATGAGCAATGGTGGCTTATTTATTTTCCATATGTAAAATAAGCAGCCTGTTACTGTGTCCCTCGTTCATTCCCTCAGAGAATAGAACTGTTTTCACAGGGAAACAGTTCACAAGTCTTCAGTCAGAAAGATCTAGAGGCACTCCATGATGTGATTTGTTACTGTGGTACCTTAAGGCTGCGTGAGAGTGATTCAAAACTCAGGATATGCGTGTAGTGTGGCTTGTTGGACTCATTTATTCAGAGCTTTGAATGGGCCATATCTGTATTCATTGATATTGCCTATGATAACTGACCTTTTTGGCATACAGTAGCTGGCAGCTAAGAATGCAAATCTTCAAACATAAAGTTTGAGCATCTATTATTAGACTACTGGCTCTGTGGAGACGGAGGACTGAAATGATGACTCATAACTTGTTGGAACATCACATAGATTAATTTTGGTAGCACTCCAGATGAGGACAGTCAGTATTGCTGCTTCTGTGTACTCTTCAAAGGACAAGACTGGTCGGTAAAAGCATGCATTTAAGGTGAATATGCAGTTTAAAAAATGCATTTGAGTGGAACAGTAGGTTCAGATAGCTGCCATATATTTTATAAAGTACATGACTAATGTAATTCAGGACCTGAAAGTTTTGCTGTCTGCACATTTTATTTTATTTTATTTTATTTTATATTTAGGACAATAAACTATCTTATGCTGGTTTAAGCTGTTGCTGTTGTTGTTTTTTAGCAGGGAAAGCTCAGAATTTGGCTCAAATTGGCCTCCTTGCACCTCACAAAAGTTCTCCAAACAGAAATTTCTTCTCAGATGTGCATTAAGCCTTACTCATACAAAATTATTTTTAGATTTGTTCAGAATAATTTCAACAAGGTTTGCCATCACAGGTGTTGAAAAAGAACAGTCCAACAGAGGTGGTATTTACCACACAACGAGGTAATCAATCAGATTTTCCCATGGTAACATTCGTCATCATTTGCTGATTGCAATACATTAGATTCATGAAAATGGCATGCATCTGTCAATACTGGCAGATGATTTATCTTTATTTGAAGCACATTTCAAAGCTACAGACACAAATGGCTTGGACGTTTGTGGATGAACAGGCATTGATGGATAGACATGGGTTAGAGTTCTTGCATTATGGCCACAGAAGGGCCATTTTGACTCCACCCACAAGTCTCGACTCCAGCACAACTTCAGACAACGATTCCCCTCAGCAACAGCACAGGTCACAGATGCTCAGTGTTTTAGCCATAGCTATTAATCATATCCTCATCTGTAGTTTGCAACCAACAGGAACAGGAATGAGATACTGTAAGCAGCCACCACCGGAATAAAGGACCGACCTCGGAATTTGTACACACTCCTTTACAGAAGTCTCCTTTTTGTAAGCGTAGATTCAATTTGTCAGGCATCACGGCAGGCACCTGCATACGCACACAGAAAGGATCATTAGCAATTAAACCCGACAGGATAAGAGGAGGGAGAGCTAATGAATATCCAGTGTGTTCCACACGTTACAGATCAGCCAGTGATAAGAGGAAGTGTTTAATGAGCTTCCCTCTTCCCTCTGTCAGGACTTGTCCGTACCTGTCCAGGCTGCAATCTGCTCCTGTTAGCACTCTGATTGAAATAATGCTTTTATGCCATGAAATTGCGCTTATATTATGAATTGTTCAGACAGCTTTGTGTATAAGGTGACTTGAGATGATTGGGAAGGTTGTGTTTTATGTCGAGGGTTTTCAAACTTTTTGATGCCAAGTAGGCCTGTCACGATAACAACTTTTTGTTGTGCGATATATTGCCCCAGAAATAATTGTGATAAACAATAATATTGTCATTTTAAGACCATTTTATGCCACTGAATATATAATCATAATATAAAAGCATAATAATGCAAGAAGGCCAACACACTTTCAAATGACAACAAACTTTTAATTCTTAAGAATATTTAGATCTTGGAAATTAAGTTTCAAAATATTAGATACCTTAAAAAACTTGAATAAATAGTAAATAAACATTTTCTACCAAAAAGTGCAAAGTAACAAGTAGAAAAAAAGAAAATTCACAAATAACTTGCATGGAGATTTTTCCAACTACAGACCTTCTTTTCTCTGTAAATTAAGGGTACACTGTATTGCTGAAAAACACAATCCCTACTTAGCAGTCAGATGTCCGTATGCACAAAGGCACAGATCCCTAAACAAGGCCATATCTGCAGATGAAGCATTTTTTAAATTTGAACTAGCACCAACTTCGACTACAACTACGAGAAGTTGCAATAGAGACAGGCACAAGTGGAATGCAAAAATCATGGTGACATTAATTTTTATGTAAATATAATGGGCAATATATTGCGTCACCAAAAATGATTGAGGTCACAAGTCGATATATTGATTATTGCGACAGGCCCTGGCCCGTAGCCAGCTATAAGGTCACCGAGGTCCGGACCTCGGTAAATTTTTCATGTTCAAAAATAAAATGTGTTCTCTAAATGACTAATCTGCTGTTTAAAGCTCCTCATATGAGTGTCTGCATTTAGAATTAAGTTTAGACAGTTTGCAAGAATGTTTAGCGCCCGTGGTATGAAAATGGTCGCTGTGAGACGCTGGCAGAGTGAATGAGGCTTGAGAGAGTTGTGAGTAGCTATGTTT